AGAAGAAACAAAAAGGAAACGGATCATATGTTTAGTGAAATAATACTGAATATAATTATACTGATCATTTGTTTTTCCCATCAATGAGCATATATATATATATACATACACAATGTGTGTACCATATGAACGAGCCTAATCTTTTTTTTTTATCGTACATACATACATACATACATACATACATACATACATACATACATACATACATACATACATACATACATACATACATACATACATACATACATACATACATACATACATACATACATACATACATACATACATACATACATACATACATACATACATACATACATACATACATACATACATACATACATACATACATACATACATACATACATACATACATACATACATACATACATACATACATACATACATACATACATACATACATACATATATATATATATATATATATATATATATTTCTATATATATTAATATAGAAAAGAGAGAGAGAGAGAGAGAGAGAGAGAGAGAGAGAGATAGAGAGAAGAAAAAAAGAAGAAAAATACAAAAAGAAATATACTTATCTAAGCTTGATCAAATTTAATTAATAAATTTTAATAAATATATTATGTATATATACAATGTATTAATATTTGTATATATATATACATATTATTATTATTATTATTATTATTATTATTTTTATTATCATTATTATTATTATTATTATTATTATTATTATTATTATTATTATTATTATTATTATTATTATTATTATTATTATTATTATTGAATGCATTATTACTTTAAAATCTACATAAGAAATAAAGAAACAAATATACATAGAAATTTATTTATATAATAAAAGACGCGCCGTCTACTACAACCCTTTCGAAAACGGTCAACGAGCCCGATGCTAGCAGGTCGTGCTAAAAATATCATCAACTGGCATTGGAATAAACCTGTGAATTTATACACACACACATACACACACACACACACTTCATTCCATCTTGAACATATATATATATATTTTTTATTCTTATCTTATTAAAAAAAAGAAAAAAAATTAATTATATTAATTATCATATAATAAAACACATTCAATAATTTTATCATATAATAAGATACATTATTCTTAATTCGAGGAAGCATAAAAATTTATATATATATATATATATATATATATATATATATATATCCTGATGAAATAAAAATCAAGACCCTCTTCCGTTCTCTTTCTCGAATAATTTGAAAGAAGATTTTAACATATCGATATACGAGAACTAAGCAATTATAAAAAGAAACTTCGTTTGCGGAGAAAGAAAGGAAAGAAAAAAAAAGAAAAAAAAGAAAAAAAAGGAAAAAAAAAGAAAATAAGAAAAAAAAAATAAGAAAAAGGAAAAAGGAAAAGGAAACATTGAGGTGTATATGCTATTAACCGACTTTAGGTCAGATTACATGCTATCTTTTTCCAGTTAGATGCACAAGGAATAAAATTAGCTTCTTTGTTGCATTCAATAGGTGTGGTCAAGATTGAATCCTCTGACTTTCAATTTGTTGATAAGATTAAAAAAAAAAAAAAAGAAAAAAAGAAATGAAAAAAAAGAGAGAAGAAAAAGAAACAAAAAGAAAGTAGTTTTCTTTATTTCTTATTATATGTACATATATAATTATATATATATATATATATGAGAAAGAGAGAGAGAGAGAGAGAGAGAGAGAGAGAGAGAGAGAGAAAGAGACGGATAGATAGGTATTCATGGTATTCGTGAAATTTTAATGGAAGAATAGGATGGAAATGATTAAGAATATAATTGAAATAATGATATATAGTTGAGTTAATGAAAAGATAAGTATTTTAAGTATAATATTTATTAATGTTCAATCATTTATATTGAAATCGTTATAAATAACTTAACTGTCAATGTTTAAATGTAGTAATTGAAATTGCTAAAAAAAAAAAAAAAAAGAAGAATAAAAAATAAAGAAAAGGAGATAACAATGCCCATTAATACTTGAACAGATGAAAATATTTAAACAATTCTTTATTTATGATATATTAAAATTACTAAAAGTAAAAAAATTTTGATAATATTGAATTATTATTATTATTATTATTATTATTATTATTATTATTATTATTATTATTATTATTATTATAAAAAATACGATTAAAGATAGTTAAAACGCCTATTAATATTTAAACAATATAAAAATAAGTAAAAAAAGTATATATATATATATATACATATATATAATATACATTTGGGTGGGACATTTAAATAATTCTTATTAATTAATTTCTTTATTTATTTATTTATTTATCTATTTTTTTTTTCTTTTTTTTTTTTTTTTTTTTTTTTTTTGAAACTAAATATTATTTCTTTCCATTCTTTGCTAATTAATATATCTAAATAAATAATTAATAACACTACATATACATACGCGCGCGGACACATATATATTTGTAATAAATTTATTTCGTTTTTGTTTTTTTGTTTTTTGTTTCAATAAATAGTGTGCCAAAGTATAGACATAAGGAACAGCGTGAATCAATTCTCAAGACTGCAAGGATGTCGAGTAGTCGAAGGATTCGTCCAAATTCTACTAATCGATCACGCCGATGATTCGGCCTATGCGAATCTCACGTTTCCAGATTTGGTAGAAATAACAGAATTCCTCGTTTTATACAGGTAAGAAATAATATATAAACATTATAAATAATAATAATATACACGAATGCACGTACGTACGTATGCAATATGTATGCATACATACATTGAAATTGAAATAATTACATACACACATACACACATATACATATATACATATATTGAATCGATTAATTTATATTCGATCATTTTCGGTGATTTTATAATTTATATGTTATAATTAGATCTTATAATTTTTCATTGACAACGTTTATGATTTCAACGACAACAAAATTTTTTTTCTTTTTATTTGCTTTTTACTTCCGCTTGTACGATCAAAAATTTACAAAGAATTCTTTGGATAAGCATAATATTTTTATTTCTTTCTTTCTTCCTACTTCTTTTTTTTTTTTTTTTTTATTTTTTTTATTTATTTTTTTTTTTTTTTTGCTGTTCCATGCAAATTTAATGTATATATCATTCTCTCTGTCTTTTTCTTTTTCTGTTTCTTTCTTTCTTTCTTTCTTTCTTTCTTTCTTTCTTTCTTTCTTTCTTTCTTTCTTTCTGTCTTTCTTTTTTTTCCTGGATTCAGCAAAAGAAAAAGGTCCCATCAAAGCTCCATCCCTTTTATTAATAAAATTTTTTGTTATCATTTTTAATACAAATAATAAATTCAACGTTAATTATTGTTAATGATAATTTTTAATGATATGATATGTCAATAGTAATATTAAAAATGAAAGAAAAAAAAAAAAAAAATCACACACACACACACACACACACACACATATATATATATACAGGCATTGTTTATTAATTAATACTATTAATTTAATATTTTTATTAATATATTAATACTCATTTAAAAATTATATTATTGGCATAATTATTTATATAATTCATTATATAATAACGTTATCTATAACATGTATACATATGTATATATGTACACACACACACACACACACACCAAAGTAGAATTGTTTCAATGATATCGTTAATTATATTTTTTTCTTTTATTTTTAATTCTTTTTTTTTTTTCTTTCTTTTTTCACGTACTATTTTCCCGCTCTTATTTTCTCCGCCCTCCCTCCCCCTTCCCTCTCTCTCTCTCTCCCTCTCTCCCTCTCTCTTTCTCTCTCTTTCTCTCCCTCCCACGAGAAGGTGGTATGCAACGATCAAGAAGTTATAAAAGGTCGAGTAGAAAGAAGTAGACGTTTCACTCGGTTCCAACCCCCCTTTCTCAGGTCACTAAACTCGTTTTCAGGCACGCGGCTTGTTATTATCGCGGCTTCTGCATACTTTTTTTTTCTGTTTTCTTTTTCTTTCTTTCTTTCTTTCTTTCTTTCTTTCTTTCTTTCTTTCTTTCTTTCTTTCTTTCTTTCTCATTTTTTTTTCCTCCCTTTTTTCATTTTTGTTTGTTCTTTTCCACCTTCTTTCCCTTCTTTTCTTTCTCTCTTTCATCCTTCCTTTCTTTCTTTCTTTCATTCTTTCATTCTTTCATTCTTTCTTGTTTTCTTTTTTTTTCTTTTATTTTATCATGTACTTTTTTTTCTTTTCCCTATCTTTTTTTACGATCTCCAGTGAACGAGAACAAGATAGAATCGTTGCAAGATTTTTACAACTTATAATTTTTCATTGACAACGTTTTAAAAATAATTATGAATATTTTATTCCTTTTTTTTTTTTTCTTTTTTTTTTTTATTTTTCCATTACACACACACACGCATATATTGTATAAATGAGAATTTATATGTAGATATATATATGTATATATATGTATGTATGTATATATGTATGTATGTGAATATATATATATATACATATAAGTATATATTTATATAGTTTTTTTTATATATTAAAAAATATATTAAAGAACGAAGGAAAAAAAAGTGTTAATACTACGATTAAATGGACTCAACGCAATAACATATATTTATTTATTTATTTATTTATTTATTTATTTATTCATTTATTCATTTATTTATTTATTCATTTATTTATTTATTTATTTATTGTATCTATTCGTATATAAAATAACGAAAAGAAAAGTAAAAAGAAAAAAAGCAAACTATATATGTATGTATAATTTGTATTTTCTTTTTTACAAAAATAAAAATAATTTTTGTAAAAAATAAAAACAAAATATAATAATAATAATAATAATAATATATATAAATTTTTCAGAGTAAATGGACTACGAAGCGTCGGCCGTCTCTTTCCAAATCTGACAGTTATTCGAGGTCATTCTCTATTTATTAATTATGCTCTAGTTGCATTTGAGATGATGCATCTACAAGAAATCGGTCTTCATTCATTGACCGATATTTTACGTGGTTCGGTACGTTTTGAAAAGAATCCAGCGCTTTGTTACGTTGACACCATCGATTGGGATGTCATAGCCAAAGCTGGAAAAGGCGAACACGTCATATCGGTAAGATTTTTATATCCAATTTTTATATCCAAATAATTATTTATAATAGATCGATTGAAACGTTACAATTCAATTTTCAATTTTCAATTTTTTTTTCTTTTTTTTTTTTTTTTTTTTTTTAAGAACAAAAAAGAATTCGTAATCGTATCTCACGTTATCGTCAATATTAATGCAAGTTTCGTTTATTTATTTATTTATTTATTTATTTATTTATTTATTTATTTATTTATTTATTTATTTATTTATTTATTTATTTATTTATTTATTTATTTATTTATTTATTTATTTATTTATTTATTTATTTATTATTATTTTTTTTTTGTTCAATCAATTCGTATAGTAACATTTTCGACGATTTATATTTGAAAATACCACCAGTATCGTATCGGAATGTCAAATTTCAAAATTACTCATCTTATTTTCCATTCATACTACGACTAATACGAAAATTTTTTTTATACATAAATATCAGATTAATATATTTGAATATTCGTACAAATATATATATATAATTAATTATGCGTACATACGTACATATATATATATATATATATATATATATATGCAAATAATTTTATATCACAGTTTTAAGATTAAAGAAGTTGTTTTTATGTACGTGTAATAAATAAAACTGACGATTGGTATTACGATTAGGGATAGAAATAGATCGTGACATTATCGAGTTATTTAAATTAATGAACTAAATTAATTAATACGTGATTATTATTAACGAGGTATGTAAGGTAGAAAAAAGAAAATAAACAACAATATATTAGCATTACCTCGTCGAAGATCTCTGACTACCAACGAGTATTGTGTCCAGTTGCATTATGATCACAATATCGTTCATATGCACATGTTTATACATGTATATATATGTGTGTGTGTGTGTGTGTGTGTGTGCACGATACGAGAATAACGTTGTTGCAAGAAATTGTGTCAAGTTCAAGGATATTATTTGTTCTATTATAAAATAAAATCGAATAAAATATTTTTATCGAACGTTAACAAATAATAATAACAAACAAAAAATTCTATAAAAATCAATATAATCATTAATCGTACCGATTTTAACCTCTTTTGTTTTCTCTTGTTTTTTGTTTTGTTTTGTTATTATAAATTTTTATTGAAGCACAATTTTAAACATATATGGAAAATCAATTTGTAATATTTGTTCTTCGATTTGAATTTTACATGGTAAAAGAAGTGAGAGAAAAAAAAAATATATATATATATATTTGATTATATTCAGGATCGAACTCGATCAATTTGAAGGTTATAAAAATGGACGAAAATACCAATGCGTGCGTGCGTGCGTGCGTGCGTGCATGCACGTATTCGAATACACGAACCGTTTATAAAGAGAGAGAAAGAGAGAGAGAGAGAGAGAGAAAGAGAGAAAGAGAGAGAAAGAGAGAGAAAGAGAGAGAGAGAGACAAACGCGTAGCCTCGGAACCGGATGGGTCGCCGTTCGAGTCCTTGAAAATCCGCATAAAGGCATTGTCCTCTTGTAACTAGAAGATGCTTCGTAGAAAAGCAAACACGCGTGCTTTCGTTCGAATCAACGATTAAGCTAAGACTAAACTTACAACGACGACGACGACGACGACGACGACGACGACGACGACGACGATGATGATGATGGTGATGATGATGATGATGATGATGATGATGATGATGATAATGGCGACGACGACGACGATACGATTACGATTACGATTATGACTACGACTATGAACTACGGTTAGAATTAACGACAATAACAACAACAACAACAACAACAACAACAACAACAACAACAACAACAACAATATCAATAATAATAATAACAATAACAATAACAACTCGGACAAAACGGAACGTAACTCTCAGCCTTTCGCAATTTATTTTTCGACCTTCGCAATGCGTCGTTTTTCCCTCTCACTCTCTACCCCTCTCTTACTATATTTTCTCTCTCTCTCTCTCTCTCTCTCTCTCTCTCTCTCTCTCTCTCCCTCTTTTTCTGATGTTATTCTACTTCGTTTTTACTATTATAAGTACGACATCGTATAAAGAGATGACTGGAAAAAAAAAAAATATAAAAAAGAAAAAAAACAAAATTAAAAAGAAAAAATAAATAAGAAATATACGTAATAATTAATTAATTAATTAATTAATTAATTTTCACTTAAATTTACACAAGAGTCGTCGTTATCGTTATTGTTGTCTTTTGTTTTTTTTTTTTTTTTTTTTTTTTGTTATTATTGTTATTGTTATCGTTTATTTATAACGAACATGTACGACGAACTTTATCGCGTAGTCGATAAGAGAAAGATCTACGTTACCGACCGATATATATAATGTGTGTATATATATAGATAGATGTATTTTTTTTCTCTTTTTAAAACAAAATATTAATATCTAAACAAATTCTAACTCTTTCGAAATAATCGAATGATAACTTTCGTGTTTATTAATTATTATTAGTAATTTGAGATAGGAATGAATTTTTTAAGAACGTTCCAATTAATTAATCTCTTTTCTTCGAAATAAGTTTTGTATGCCGTGATTGGTTGGCGGGCGTGGTGTTGGTGGGAGGGGATTGGAGAAAGAAAATATCTATCTTACCAACCGATCAGGATTTATTCAGAAAGAATTAATCAATTCTCTAATCGTCACAACGATCACATTTACCATTGTTATATGGTGTAATAATTATTAAAAAAAGAAAAGAACATTTTGTAATTTATATTGATAAAAAAAAGTGTTTAAGAGTGATAATCGATCGAATCAATTTTTTTAATTAAAAAAAAAAAAAAAAAAAAAAATAGAGGAATGATCTACCTTACCGACCGATAAACTTTTCTTTTCCTTTTTTTTTTTTTTTTTTTTTTTTTTTTTTTTTTTTTTTTTTTTTTTTTTTTTTTTTTTTTTTTTTCAAAATAAAATTAAAATCTTCCTGACGTACTAATCCTTTTCTGACGATTGAATCAAATGAACAGTTTTTTTTTTTTTTTTTTTTTTTTTTTTATTACGATTGTTAACAATGAAAATTGTATAATTTGATTGAAGGAAGTAAAAAAAAAAAGGAAGAAAAAAATTAAGGAAAAATAAAAACAAAAAAAACAAAATAGAAAAATGAAAAAGTAAAATAGTTAATTAACTGAATTTTAAGGAAGAGAGTTTAGTGAGAGTAGAGAGAGATGGGGAATCATTTTGCAGTGAAAGAATTTAATCGTATGTAAGACGAATAAATAAGAAAGAGAAAGACGATAAGTAGTGACGTAAATAAATGAAATTCGAGCGGCACGCGTGTGCTCTTCTTCTTGTTATTTACTCGTGTACAATTTCAAGAGTAGAAAAGTGCGAAGTCGATGGTAATCGGACGAACCTTTCGTGATTTGAAACGAGATAACATGCTTTACGACGAATCGATAAAGTCGACCAATGAAAACATTTGTTCAAAATCGATAACGTTGTAGAGAAGAAAAGAAAAGAAAAGAAAAGAAAAAGAAAAAATATATTATATTATACGTACGAACACGCGCGCACACGCGCCATATACACACACACACACACATAATATAGTTTTCATTTTATACATCTTTATTTTATTACATCACTCATGTTTTTCTTATGTATATATATATATATATATATACACATATACACATACATATATCTTTAGGTGTGTATATATGTATTTACATGACACAAATTTGATATGTTTATATACATGCAATAACTATATGATTCTCGATCATAACCTCACTTTCCTTTTTTTTTTTTTTTTTTTTTTTTTATATCGTATATAATTAATATCTATTATTGTAATTAATTAATTCGTAATAAATTTTATAAATTTAATGAAATAATAAAATTGTGTAATTATCATCTTTGTATGTTTTATATAGGGAAATAAACCAAAGAATGGCTGTCCGATATGTGAAAAAAATTGTACCACCAGATTGACTAAGCCCGATGAAACGCTTTGCTGGAATCGACAACACTGCCAACGAAGTTAGTATTAATTTATAATTTATTTATGAATTTTCTTTCTTGAAAAAGAAAAAAAAAAAAGAAAGAAAAAAAGAATGTCAAAAGTATAATTATATGCAAAATACGTCCACGTGACGTGTCATAAAAATGAACTTAACCTAAAATTTGTATTTATTTGCAGTATGTGACAAAAGATGCGGAGATGGTTCCTGTGATGCGTCAAATCATTGCTGTCATCCGTCATGCCTGGGTGGTTGTACGGGATTAACAGCGAATCATTGTAAAGTCTGTAAAAACGTTTTAGTAGATGGTAATCATTGTCAAAATCATTGTCCAAATGGTACATATGAGTTTATGAATCGTCGTTGCATCGGTGAGGATGAATGTCGTCAAATGGTAAAACCAAGAGAGGCATTAAGTATCGTCAAAGATAATCCTTACAAACCATTCAATGGTAGTTGCATTATCGAATGTCCTGCTGGTTATATGGACGAGGAGGTAAATAATAAAACATCTTGTAGAAAATGTAAAGGGCCATGTTTAAAGGAATGCGCTGGTACTAGCGTTGACAGTATTGCTTCGGCTCAGAAATTACGTGGTTGTACTCATATTACCGGTAGCCTTGAGATTCAGATAAGAGGCGGTAAAAATATTGTCAATGAGCTAGAGGATAGTTTGAATATGATAGAAGAGATAGATGGTTATTTGAAGATCGTACGAAGTTTTCCATTGATATCATTAAACTTTTTAAAAAGTCTTCGAGTTATAAGAGGTAATTATTTGGATAATAGCAAATATACACTCGCCGTTTTGGACAATCAAAATCTTCAAGAACTTTGGGATTGGAGTACTCACGGTGAGATTGGTATATTGTCCAAGGACGGTCCAGCTAAAGTCTTTTTTCATTTCAATCCAAAGCTATGCTTTCATAAGATTGAAACGCTTAGAAAAAAGGCAGGTCTTCAAGAGTTTACGGATCTTGAAGTAGCACCTAATAGTAATGGCGATAAGGTAGCTTGTAATGTTACCGAATTGAAAACTATTGTAACAAAGACAACGTCGGATGCAGCATTGATAGAATGGGAACAATTTACTCATCATGATCCTAGATCATTATTAGGATATGTCGTGTATTTCATCGAAGCACCAAATGAAAATGTAACGATGTATGACGGTAGAGATGCTTGCGGTGGTGATGGTTGGAGAGTTGACGATGTTTCCGCCATCGAAGGATCAACCAAGCCAATAACCACCAATTATACAGAACCTGAAAAACCAAGTTACCTCTCGCATATTTTAACACAATTGAAACCATTCACGCAATATGCATTTTACGTTAAAACATATACAATAGCAACGGAGAGATCTGGTGCACAAAGTAAGGTCACGTATTTCACAACGAAACCGCATGCACCTAGTGCTCCTAGAGGACTTTCAACTTATAGTAATTCCAGCAGCGAATTAATAGTCTCTTGGTTACCGCCTTTAAGAAAAAATGGTAATCTTACGCATTACAGAATTGTTGGACGTTGGGTACCGGATGATTCGAACTTCATCGATCAAAGAAATTATTGCGATGAACGTGAGTTTTCTATCCTTTTTTTTTTTTTTTTTTTTTTTTTTTAATGCTTATTATTTTATCATCAATTTATTGATGATGGAATTGGTCTAACTTCATTGTACATTGAATTTTTCTAGCCATGTCATTGCCAGAAAAGAAATCAATGTCGGTAATGGCCGAGGAGGAAAGAAAACGTGCAGAGGAAGAAAAGGAATTGGCAAAGATACCGGAAACGACATCCTGCGATTGTGCCGATCGAGAATTAGATCAGTCCATGCGGGAAAAGGAAGTATCGAGTTCAATTGCATTCGAGGACGCTTTGCACAATCAGGTTTACGTTAAACGAATAGATGCACGTAGGAGACGTGACACTAGCGAGATATTTGAATTAGTTAAAAGAAGAGATCATAGTTATTACTCCGAGGTAATATATATATATATATATATATATATATATATATATTAATTTATTATAAAAAATAATTCAATGAATTAAGACAAAAAATCAATCTTACTTACTTTTTTTCTTTTTTTATTTATTTATTTATTTATTTATTTATTTATTTTTCTTTTGCAGAAGGAATCGACGGCCGATAAAATAGTGAACAATACTTATATTGTATTCGACAGGGAGGTACCTAATCCAAATTTAAGTTTCGTTATGAAAAATCTTCGACACTTTGCCTATTACAATATCGAAGTCCAAGCATGTCGAGAGGTTGTCAAGAATGATACAAATGATACTTGTTCGACCAAAAGTATGAAGACCTATAGAACATTACCATTGGATAGTGCCGATAATATTCCTGCGAATACCTTCAGATTGAGCATTTCCGGTGAGAATAACAGTCTGACAACTGTTACGCTTTATTGGGCAGAACCACCGCAACCAAATGGCCTGATTGTTACCTATCAAATCGAATATAAAAGAGTGGATATACAGAACGTATGTATTTCTTAAGAATTCCTATAACTTGTTGAAACGTGATCGTGTTTTTAATCATTGATAACGATACATTATTTATTTTCATTTATTTATTTATTTATTTATTTATTTATTTCCTTTTTTCCCCACCCCTTTTATTTTTCTTTCTTTTTTTTCTTTTTTCTTTTTTTCCAGATAAAAGCAACCGTAGTTTGTATAACAAGACGTGACTTCACCAAAGCCGGCAATTCTTACATCCTTAAAGATCTACCAGCTGGTAATTATTCGATCAAGGTCAGAGCCACGAGTTTAGCCGGCAATGGAAATTACACAGAGGCACAATACTTCTTCATAAAGGAATATAATAATTTGGGATTATTTTGGATATTATTTTGGTCAATATTAACAAGTCTATTTGCAGTTATGATGTTTGTAGGATTTTATATATGCAAAAGAAAATTCATGCGTAATGTTCCTAGCAGAAGATTAATAGCAACGGTTAATCCAGAATATGTTAGTAGCGTTTATGTTCCCGATGAGTGGGAAGTACCTAGAAAAAAAATTCATGTACTGAAAGAATTAGGAAATGGTTCCTTTGGTATGGTTTATGAGGGTTTAGCAAGGGACGTTGTCAAAGGGAAACCAGAAGTACGTTGTGCCGTTAAAACAGTCAATGAAAATGCAACGGATAGAGAAAGAATAGAATTTCTTAACGAAGCATCCGTAATGAAGCAAGTATCATTTAAAATTTTAATTCTAACATTTTTAATTCAATATTTTGCAAAATAATTGTCTCATTATATTTCTATTACTATTTTTATTTTATTTATTTATATATATATATATATATGTATATATATATATACAGAGCTTTCAATACTCATCATGTGGTAAGATTGCTCGGTGTAGTGTCTCAAGGACAACCTACCTTGGTGGTAATGGAGCTAATGGTGAACGGTGATTTAAAGACATATTTGAGAAGTCATAGGCCGGACGTTTGTGAAAATTTCTCTAGGCAACCACCAACATTGAAAAGAATCTTACAAATGGCAATTGAAATAGCCGATGGTATGGCATATCTTGCAGCAAAAAAATTTGTCCATAGAGATTTGGCAGCGAGAAATTGTATGGTTGCTGAGGATCTTACTGTTAAGATCGGTGACTTTGGAATGACAAGGGATATATATGAGACTGATTATTATCGTAAAGGTACAAAAGGTCTTTTACCAGTTAGATGGATGGCACCTGAAAGTTTAAAGGATGGTGTATTTACAAGTTTCTCCGATGTATGGAGTTATGGGGTTGTTTTATGGGAAATGGTAACCCTTGCCTCGCAACCTTATCAAGGTTTATCGAACGATCAGGTAAAGAATTAATTCATTTTATTAATTAAAATTAATTTAATAAAATTCATTTTATTAATTATGTGAAGTTAATTTAATAAAATTCATTTTATTAATTAATTACAAAATTAATAATTAATTATTTGAATGAAAGCTACTATTTACTTTTATTTTTTTATTCTTTTTATTTTCTGTGGGTTTTTTTTTTTTTTTTTTTTTTTTTTTGTAAATAAAAATGAACCTATCAGAAAGAAAGAAAGAAAAAAAATAAAGCAAAATAAAATAAAATAATAAAAAAAAATAAAAGTAAAGTAGTAATTTCATTGAAATTATTAATTTTATAATTAATCTTATTAATTTATTATTTATAAAAAAAAAAAAAGAAAAAATTATAAAATTAATAAAATCAATTGGAAAATTAATGATCATTAATTAAAAACTTAATAATTAATAAATTAATAAATTAATAATTTCAATGAAATTACTTTTATTTTTTTTATTTTATATATATATATATATATAAAATAAATAAACAAATAAAAAAAAAAATGAAGTTTATTAAAAAATAAAAAAAATAAAACTAAATAGTAATTTAAGTTGAAATTATTAATTTTATAATTGGTTTAAAAATAAAAGATTAAAAAAAAATATATATATATATATATATATACATAAAAAAAAAAAATACAAAAATATATACCAAAAAAAAAGAAGAAAAAAAAAATTACAAAAAAATATATAAAAGTGCCTTTTCTTAGGTATTACGGTATGTAATAGAAGGTGGTGTTATGGAACGTCCAGAAAATTGTCCAGACTCGCTTTACAATTTAATGAGACGTACTTGGTGCCATAAAGCAACAAGAAGGCCAACCTTCATCGATATAGCTACAATATTATTACCGGATGTCAATTTGGAAGCTTTCGAACGTGTTAGCTTTTATCACAGTCCAGAAGGTATCGAAGCGAGAAATCAAAATATATCTCATTCGCCGCAAACAGACAAGTAATAATAAAAAATTTTTCATATCAAAAAATCTATTTTCTTATAATTTTAATTACTACGTTTACAATATCTTACATCTTATAAAATCATAATTAAATTTCTTATCATTGAATCTTTATTTAAAAAAAAAAAAAAAAAAAAAAAAAAAAAAAAAAAAAAAACAAAAAAAAAAGGGATCTAGAAATGACGACGCTTCAAGATTTACGCGAGGAGGAAGCCGAGGGTGATGAGGATTCCCCATTGCGCCAAGACTTTGGTGATTTTGCTAGTTTCGAGCCTACCAGTATTAAAAACAGTTTGAGCCCACGTTACACGTTAGAGCCATACGGTGAGAATTCAAAAACAAAGAGGACGAACTTTAACGATATGAATTCGTCCAAGGTACCATTGAAAGCCGGTTTCGATGATTTCGATGGTATTTCAGGAGATTCATTGGCATCGAGCAAAGATACTTTGAACTTGCCATTTGTCGAGGATAGTTTAAAATCTGTTAAAAATTCACCGTACATTCATGGTAAAAATACATCAAGAGGTAACGTCAGTCAAACGTCAGCGGCAAGATCAACGAGTCCACAAAGTTTGATCAAGCAACAACAACAACAACAACAACAACAACAACAGCAACAACAACAACAGCAACAGCAACAGCAACAACAACGAACGTATACGGAGAGTCCAAATTCTATTAAATCTAGAACAAAGAATCCTGATTATGAAAATAGTAGCCCAGAGATATTAGCCAATATTGAAAGGAAACTTGCAATACCATCCCAATTAGAATTATCATCGGTGGACACAATAGACATTGGTATAGATATTGATAAAAAGGATGGTCTCTCGTCTACAGTTGAATATGTTAATAAACCAGAGACATTGAACAATGGTTATATTGGTGGTAATAATAAAACAACGTAGTCCCAATGATAAATCGTAAATCTCCTCGAATATAATATATAATTAAGCAAACAAAGACTCAAAATGGAAGACCATTTATTTCTTATTACTATGAACAAAAAGGAGAGAGAGAGAGAGAGAGAGAGAGAGAGAGAGAGAGAGAGAGAGAGAGAGAGAAAAAGAAAGATATAAAGGAGAGTTGTAAAAAAAAAAAGGCAGTGTCTAAAAC